ATTATTGGTTCTGACTTATAGTGACCCTGTATAGGAGTTCTGAGACTGTACATCTTTTTGTGGACTTGAACTACCAACACTTGTGGTTCACAGTCCAGTGTTTATCATGTAGAGCTATCACACTACCCATGCTAATTAATTGTTGCTAAGTGCAATGAATTTGTTTTGACTATAGAGACCCTATATAGGGTTTCCAAGGAGCAGCTGGTAAGTTTGAACCGCCATCCATGTGGTCAGAAGTTCAGTGCTTATCCCACAGTGCCACATCAAGACTCCTATAGCATTTTTCAAAATATAATTCATCCAGAGGATGGGATATTATTAAGTCATATACTGTTAGAGAGTTGTTGTTAAGTGCCTTTAAGTTGGCTCCGACTCATAGCAACCTTATGTAGGGTTTCCGAGGAGCGGCTAGTGGGTTTGAGCTGCTGACCTTGCAGCTCCAACTGACCTTGCAGTCCAGCACATTATCCTGCAGAAACGACCTTCAGAAGTATTTGTATATAGTCGGAGATGAAGGATATGCCAAGAAACAATAGTGTCACATTTAGATATTATTTGTTTAATAAAAGTTTCTATAATTTTGTAGCACTATTTTACTTACCTTTATACCTAGAATAAGCAAATGCATAAACACCAACGTTTATGAGTGGTTCCCGGTGCTGAGTGAGCAGGGGAAAGGAGAAGTTATTGCTTAAGGGGTACTGAATTTCTGATGAATAATTTGGAAACAGATGGTGGTGATGGTTGCACACCATGGTAAACATAATTGATGCTACCGAGCTGTATTTGTAATGGAGGTTGAAATGCAAATTTTGCTCTCTATATTTCAATACAACATTTAAAAAAAATAAAATTGAACTTCTCAAAAGAAGCATAAGTACAAGGACAGAATGCAAGGTGTTAAGAGGAGAAACAATGTAAGGGGTGAGAGGGAAGCAGTATATGAGAATGCTGTTCTTTCTGCAAAACTAAAACTGCTCTAGCAAAAAATCGGTTTAAAAATGGGGGTGACCCTTCCAAGACTAAGACTCAATGGGAATACACGCTCTGATTGGTGACCACGCTCGACACTGATAAGGGGAAGTGAGGGAAAAACAGCAATGAAGTAGTGAGCTAAGCCCTACAATGTTCAATAGACTTCTGTGAACCCGGGTGAAGATCTGGTTGACCAGCAGTGTGGCAAGACCTGGGGACTCTTGGGCCCAGAGTCAGTGACATAGCCACAGAGGACTAGAGTGGAGAGTGAAGCATCCAGCTGATAAGAAGAGAGGGCATATGCATAAGAACACCCACACTTGCAGATAATACCCACTTATCCTGGCTTCAGTGACTGGATGATCAGAGCTCAAACAGAAGAAAAAAGAAAAAGGAAAAAAAAAAAAGTATTCTCATATAATTTGATGAACTTGACCTACACCTATGGAAGCAGTAGCTCAAAAGAGGGAACAAGTCCTTACAGCAACAATCATTCCCACCCCCTCCACACACAGAGTAGACAGGGATAGACAACTTGGACATTGGCTACCCAAAATGGGGGGTGAGGGGCTACAAAGGCAAGAAGTGACTGGCTTACAAGCTTTCCAGAGGGAACCTAGATCCTGAGGGCCTGGAGGAAGGTAGAATCTCCACTGAGTAGTATTCAATCTGTCTAGGTGGGGCTGATGAAATGAAATGCAGAAGGGTCACTCATGATAATGATTATCAAGACTGATTGTGAGGGTTGGAAATGTAAAGGTAGACGTTTTATAGCAAGGAGGGGAGCAATGAACTTTTCAGTCTAGGAGTGGATGTCCCTAGGACCATCAAGGGAGAAGAGCAGAGAGCGGGACCCCACCCAGAGAAGCAGTGATGCCTGAAATGGAGGCTGAGATGATGACGTGGAGCAGCTGGAGACTTTAGATCCAGAGAGGGAGAGCAACTGTGTGCTGAAGACCTGGGGGGTACAGGGTAAGGATTGCAGGGTATACCCTTTGGTTGGTTGATGATGCATGGAGGGGATTGTAACCATGGCAATGAGACGATATATGATAGAATGAATGTAAAACTAATGTTCTCCCATGTAAACTATCACATAATTCACAATAAAACATTTAAGAAAAAAAATGGGGGTGAGATATAGTCATATAAGTTCAAAATGATGTATGCAGGCCATCAGTTATTGAGATGTTGTTGTTGTTAGGTGCCATCGAGTCTGCACCAAGTCATAGTGACCCTGTATAGGGCTTCAAGCTGTAAATCTTCATGGGAGCAGAGTCTTATCCGGCTGGTGAGTATGAACTGCCAATCTTGTGGTTAGCAATCCAGCACTTATCCTACAACAAACACAACCAGTGCCCCTCAGTTACTGAGATATTACTGTCTCATTCTTTTTAACAGATCTAGAACACACTACCACATAGGTTGACATGTTTTCTTTTACACGTCCTTTATTGGTGGACATTTAGGTTTTGCAGTCTCTTGGATTTACAAGTAACATGTTCCGATTCATTGCCACCCTGTGTAGGGTTTCCAAGGAGCAGTTGGTGGGTTTAATCCACACCAGAAGTTCTTACAAGTAATATTACATCATACTTACATAGAGACACAGTGTAATCTCTGAACCATAGATACAGAGAAAGGAGGGGAAAAGCTAGAATTCTATGCACTACTATAAGGAGCTCTGCTAGCGTAGTGGTTATGGTACGGGCTGCTAACCTGAAGGTCGGCAGTTTGAAACTATCAGCAGTTCCTCTGGAGAAAGATGAGGCGTTCTGCTCCCATAAAGATTTACAGCCTCGGAAACACTGTGCAGGGTAACTGTGAGTAGGAACCGACTCCATGGTACTTAACAACAACTACACAGGTGCCCAGCACCCTCCAACTTCCAGCAGAGTGGAGGGAGCTGAAGATTTTTCTTTTTTTCCTACAGAGCATGGTGGTTTGTTTATTCCATAATTTTTGAGACAAGAAGGGATAAAAATTAATTTGGGAACAGAAAGGGTACAGATTCTTTTTCCCACTGTATCTGCTCAAGATATTTTTCCCCAAAATAAGTTGAGAACCATTGAGAAGAGGAGGGAAAAGAGACCTCAAGAACAGAGTGAGTGAGCACACAAGGGGGGGTGGGGGTGGGAAGAGAGTGCCATCAAGTAGGTTTCAACTCATAGCTTCCTAATACAGTTTCTGAGGAATTTTATTTTATTAGTATTTAAAAATAAAGCATTAATTAATAGTTTTAAAAAGAGTGGGCTCCATGACCTTTACCTGAAATGCCCTGATTGATTATTTCCACCTCTTCAAATATCACCCCTTCTTCAAGATAGATTTTAATTTCCCATTCCTTTTCTGGACAACTCCAACATTACTGCTCTCTCAGCGAAATCTATGTAAGAAATTATTGTGTGTGGCAAGTCATCACACATTGCTTTTGCCATTTTATTTTTTAAAATGGTATCAACAATCATCCTTCCGTTGTGTATTTCCAATTGTGTTTTACTGAGCCTTTTGAGGGTTGCATGGGGGTCTTGCAAAGATCCGTGAAGATGTGATCAAGCTGAGGCACATGAGGCCCTCTTCTGACAGGCAGTCTTCACACACATTCGCTAAATATTGGAATTAGTGATCTCGTTTATAAAAATGCTAAAAGCCCACAGAAGGGTAAAGCCTTCACATCTTAAGCGGAATTAATTCAAAAGTTGTTGTTAAGTGCCTTCCAGTCGTTTCCGACTCATAGGGACCCTGTGCAGGGTTTCCGAGGAGCAACTGGTGAGTTTGAACAGTCCAACTTGAGGTTCAAACCAACCTTTAGGTCGAGTGCTTATCCTACAGTCCCACACCAGGATTCCAGTCCAATAGTTACAGCATGCCATAACTTAGAGCTTCTTTACTCAAGGGATGAAAGTTTGGGAGATAGAAGTCAATATTTTGAAGGACTCACACAATTTTAGTGCTGCATGAGGCATCAAAATCAAGTCATTCAAACACTTTCTTGCCTGAGGTCACAAGGCTAGCCAGTGTTGAAATTTGAGGACCAAATCAAATCTCCTCTTAAGTGTATTGCCTGGAGTAAAAAGGTGTGGCCTGGATCAAAGATGGGTCTTTCCATAGCAAAAATGATAGGAGGGCTCAGTATCTGGAGCAGAGGGGAGGAAAAGCATCACATTTTGTCTCCTTTATAATTGCATCTCGGGCTCCGTGACTGTTTCTGGGTCAGTGGAAGTCTTCGGCATTAACAGAAGCCAACTTCAGATAATCAAAAGTGGTTTAGAAGGCTACAATCCTCAACTTCCTCTTATCCAGCCTGGTCTCACTACGTGAAGAGACAACTGAATGCCTTCAGTTTACTGAATGCCTTCTTGGACCATTTCACATCCTCCCTTTTCCTAGGCAAGGAAGGACAATCACACAAGGAGGATGCAATACAAGCAAGAGGGATTTTCCAAGCAAGAGAATATTTTCAACCGAATTCCCAGTGTCTACTGTATCCGGAAAATGAGGGAGTCATTAGAGTAACCAAGGAGATAATTCTGATATGTTCCCTTCCTTTTCTTTGCTACTAAAATCTTTCACTCTGATTTCAGGAACGGCACCCCAATTTTGCTAGCGTCCGGTATCTGCAGCTCCTCCCTCTCTTCAGGAATATTCATGTAGGAAAGTGTTTTTAAACTAGGAGCACGTGTAAACTAGAATGAGTGAGGCTTTGTGCCATTGCCATAGGGGCAAGAGTCCAATTTAGAGCGTAATTTTTCAGCCGCCGGGTTTTGGAGCGCCTCTTCAATCTAAACTACAAGTCCCAGGAGACGCCGCAGCGACTGTGTCTTCCGTGGTTCTTCCCTCGCTCTTCTCGATAGTGGAGATAAAGGTTCCGTTCGCGGTGCACTGCGGAGTTGGTTTGTTTTCTACGGCGGTGACGGAGTTGGAAGCCCGGCTGCTGGAGGGGGTGTCAGGAGGCGGATTCCTCCTCTCAAGTCCTGGGGGGCGGGGAGGAGGGAGGCTGGGCCAGAGGCCTGGGATCGAACCGCGAAGACAGAGTGAACTGAGGAGATGGAGGACAGCGGAGTGTCGTGGGACGGCGAGCCCGTCTCAGGTCCCGGCCCGGGAGGCGGCGGAATGATCCGCGAGCTGTGCCGGGGTTTCGGGCGCTACCGCCGCTACCTAGGACGGCTGAGACAGAACCTGCGCGAAACCCAGAACTTCTTCCGCGACATCAAATGCTCCCACGAACATAGTTGTCCCTCCTCCCCCACGGGCGGCGGCGGGGCCGAGCCCGGTCCTGCCAGCGATGTCGCCGAAACCGGGCAGCAGCCGGGTAAGGAGGGCAGCCCAAAGGGAGAAAGGGGGCTGGAGCACTAGAGGGTGGACCGCACCTCTGCCCCTGCAAAACAACTCCGGGAAAAGGCGGAAAGTAGGAGTTTGTGTGGCCGCCCCCGGGCCTGGGCCGCGAGGATCTGGGATGACGGGAGAAGGCATCCCTCCGGGTGGGGGAGGGGGCACTGAGGGCGGGGTCCATGAGGGCCCGTGCTTTGGAGGAGGAGGCAGGGGTTCATCCTAGGAGTGGGGGGAGTTTTCTGAGTTGCAGGTGGCTGGTGGTGGGTAAGGACACCAGTTTAGGGATGGAGGAATGGAGAGAGGGGTATAGAAAGAGGAGTAATCAGGGTGCTCCAGGAGGCGGAGGAGATCAGGAGATGTAGTAGTGTGTTTATGTTTGAATATATATGCGAAATGCTTTTACACCGAACTTTCAACTCTCTGAAGAAGTAAGGGATGTATTCTAGATGGGGTTGGGAGTCACCAAAGAGATTGATATCTGATAGGTGGCAGGGAATTGGCAGAGTTGTTGGCTGTGCGTAGAGTATGGTGAAGAATATAGAAGTTGGAGCCCTTCTTGACCACATAATTTTCTAGGGATGTGTTAGAGTCCCCAGAGCACTTAAAATTTCTTGTGGTCTTTAATGTGTTCCAAATTTATTGCTTCCTCTTTAGCTCTGCAGTTGGTGGGGAACCCGAGAGTTTGCTAACTCCAGCATCTAATTAGGAAATAGGTTGGAAGAGAGAGGGACTGGCATCTCATGCAGATTATTTTGGGGACAAAGATAGCAAAAAAGTCAGTTAAATTTTATTTACTGATTCTCATATTTGTAATTAATAGGGAGCTGGTAAAAATGACAACTCTCAGTTTCTACTTTACGGATCTGATTTAGTTGGTCTGGTGGGTAGATTTTAAGACTCTAAACATAAAAAAGCCGCAGGAGATTCTGATGCAGGTGGTCTGCAGATGCACTTTCACTTAGATACTGATAGCAGATTTGAACATGAAGCTCAGAACTGAATGAATTGTTGAACACTAAGTGTGTTGGGCCCCATATTCCCAAAATTGTATGTTAATATTGTAAACTATCTGAAATTCTAGATGTGGGAGTAAAAATAAGATAGTATGAATCTTATGAAATGATTCTATTACATTTATTTGACCTGGCCCAAACCAAAACCCGTTACTATCGAATTGATTCTGACTTATAGTGACCCTGTATAGGGTTTCCAAGGAGCGGCTGGTGAGCTTGAACCACCAACCTTGTGGTTCAAACTGAAGTTACAGTGCAGTGCAATAACCCACAGCACCACATCAGGACTCCAAGACAAGGAAGAACTGCTCTATAATGTTTCCCAAGCTGTAGTCTTTATAGAAAGGAGCTCTGGTAGTGTAGAGGTTACAAATTGGGCAGCGAGCTGCAAGGTCAGCAGTTTGAAACTACCAGCTGTTTGGCAGGAGAAAAATGAGGCTTTCTTCTCCCGTAAAGATTTTACAGCCTCTGAAACCCTGCGCAGGGTCGTTATGAATCGGAACCAACTCCACGACATATAACAACAACAACAATCTTTATAGAAGCTGACTGCCATATCTTTCTCCCACAGAGCAACTGGTAGGTTTGAACCACAGACCTTTTGGTTAGCAGCCAAGTTCATAAACACTGTGCTACCAGGACTCCTTACTTGGTGTGAATATAAATAGGAAAGTTTTTAGTATACCCTATAGGAGAAATGGGAGGAGAAGGATAAACTGTTTCAAAGTTGTGGTTTTGACAAGTCCAAAGATTTGGTCTTCTATAAATGCCTTTATAGAGGAAACTGATTTCTGAGAGGTTATATTATGAAAACAACTGGGATCTTGGTGTGGTGCTAGAGGACAGGCTGTTGTTGTTATGTGCCTTGGAGTTGCCCTGTACAGGGTTTCCGAGGTTATAAATCTTTGTGTTGTTGTTGTTAAGTACCATGGAGTCAGTTCCGACTCACAGTGACCATGCAGTTTCCAAGGCTGTAAATCTTTATGGTAGCAGAACGCCTCATCTTTCTCTGGTGGAACCGATGGTAGTTTCAAACTGCTGACCTTGAGGTTAGCAGCCTGATTCGTAACCACTACGCTACCAGAGCTCCTTAGAAGATAAGTAGTAGACTGCTAACTGCAAGATCAGTGGTTCAAATCTACCAGCTGCTCTTGAGAAACCTTATACAGGGTTGCTATGAGTCATGTTTTCAGAGATGATTCCTAGAGTGTGTACTTTCACCCTTTCCCTTAGTAATGCTTTCTAGTGGTTTCTCCTTTCCAGAAATTCTCATAGCCTATCTGAAAACTGTCTGTTGAAATTACTATTTTAAAGCAATTCTGTATTCTGGAATTACTACAGGGAAAACAAAACACCCCAAACCAGAGAGTAGATTCAGTTTGGTGAAAAGGAGATATTCATGGCACCTTGGATGGCTCTTGTCTTTATTTTGTAAAAACCAACTTAAGAAATACAAATGTACCTTTGTATTTGACCTCATTGGCTTTTCTAGTTGACTGCATCACATATTAATCTTTGTGGATTTAACACTCTTCACCCTCTGGAGTCTGTCCATCTTTAATAAAATTCTGTGGAGGGTGAAGATGACAGGGCTGGGAACAAGTCTATTTTGTTCCATGAAATGATTCCATTTCTTCTAGTGTGGAGGAGAAAAACAACAGGGAAAATGAGTGAGGTGCTACTGACTATTATAGTTTGAGGATGCCATTTGCGCAGCTATTAGGTAATCATGCTAGTAAGCAGAAACCACTCCCTAAAAGACAGCTAGCTCTTGTTCTCTCCTTTTATAGGCTATCTTTGTCAGATCAGAGACTGTTTCAACTTTCTTTTATGAATGTTGGTTTCTGATTAATAGGAACTTAGCATGTGAAGGGATGGAGCACTCAATTTCTAATCTTAACAAACTTCTGGAAGGTTTTAATGACTTCAGAGTGGACATGTGCATCTAGAAACCAGTTGTCATCCAGTCACTTCTGACTCACGGTGACCTCACGTGTGGCATAATAGAGTTGCGCTTCATAGGGTTTTCAATGACTAGTTTTTCGGAAGGAGATCAGGCCTTTCTTTTGAAACGTCTCTGGGTGGAATTGAATTTCCAGCTTTTCTATTTTCAGTCCAGCATGTTAACTGTTTGCACCTCCCAGGAACTCCTGTACTTCTAGATTGAATGTTACAGGGTATTTGAAATTTGAGGACCAAACTGATGACAAAAATAAAGTCTTTTTACATACTATTTATAATACCAAAAACTTTCAAAAAATTTTTTATTTTAAATTATAGAAGAGGTGGAGAAAAACAAACAAACCAAACCTTTTGCTGTAAGTTGAAGCCCTTTCTCTTACATAGTAGAACTGCTCCCTGAAGTTATCTTGGCTGTAAATTTTATGGAATCAAGTCGCCTAGTTGTTCTTTCATGACACCACTGGGTAGGTTTGAACCGCCAGCCTTTCAGTTAGTAGTTGAGGGCAAACCATTTTTGCCAACCTGGGAGGGACCTCTAAGGAAGTGGAAAACTCACTGTTGTAGAATTGATTCTGATCCTAGTGACCCTGTCAGACAGAGTAGAAATACTCTATAGGGTTTCTGAGACTGTAAATCTTTACCAGAGTAGACAGCCTCATCTTTTCCCTGAGGAGTTGCTGATGGGTTTGATCCGCTGACCTTGAGATTAGCAGTCTAGTACTGAACTCACAGTGCCACCAGGACTACAAGGAAATGGAGGGACCCCAAAATAATACTTCCCACTTCATTTTGATAGTATTATCAAGTATTAAGGGACTGTATAGAGTATGTAATGTGTATGAAGTTGTAGATGTTAAAAAAGTAGGTGGAATAGAACTCTTGAGTTAATTTTTTTGGGGGGTGTGTGTACTTTGGCCTGTACAAAGACACCTTAATTGTAAGTAAAATTTCCTTGACTTTGTCTCTTTCCTGCTGCCCAAATCATGGATTTAAATATTTTTATTTTCACTTAAAGAAGGTGTGGAACCCTGGTATGTAGTGGTTCAACGCTTGGCTGCTAAAGGAAAGGTTTTCAATTTGAACTCAGCAGCCACTCTGCCTGAAAAAGATGTAGCAGTTTGCTGCCGTAAAGATTTACAGCCTGGGAAACCCTATGGGGCATTTCTATTGTGTGCTTATAGGATCTCTATGAAGCATAATCAGTTGGCCCACATTGGGTTTGGATTAAAGAGGGTGAGAGTCATATCTTTCTTTGTGTTGATTTTTCTTAGTCAGAGGGGTGACATGAGATAAAGTCTTTAGGTCTTCTAAAGAAAGGGCGTCCTGGTATAGCACTGCAGAAAAATGCACTGGACTGCAAGTTCGATTTGAACTGTCAGGTAGGCAGTTCAAACTCACCAGCTACTCCTTGGAAACCATGTACAGGCTCACTATGAGTTGGAACTGACTCAAAGGCACTTAACAACAACAAAGAAAGATAGGGTAGAGTATTACAAAGTAGCAGAGGGAAAAGTAATATTCTTGTTATATGATCCAATAGAGTTCCTAGCTGTTGCTATTTATCATAACCCTCTACGTCTTAAGAAATTGGGATGACTCAGATGTGTCATTGGAATGCTCTCATCTGGGCTGTGCTCCACCAGTTTTGGTTCCAACCTTTACCAACTAAATTGACATGGACAAGTCTCAACTGCCTACTTTTCCTCATTTGGAAATGGGGATTAAAATAGTATTTAACATAAGTAAATAGAACAGTACCTATTAAGATGAATGATAAATATTAGCTATTATTATTTAATAAACATTTGAATACCTGTTCTGTTCTGTTCAGAGTGCTGTTAATAAGGTGGTAAAAAGTCAAATACAGAGACATTAGTTTTGGCCTCTGTTTACTGGAGATTCACTCTATGCTTTTCACCTAAGAAAAGGAAAAACAAAATAAAACTATAATTGCCATCATTATAGTACACATTTTGTGTGCGTTCGATAATGGGTGAAAAGACTA